GCTCAGAAAAGAGCGATTCGTTCGGTCATGGAATTACGTAGGTATGATCGCAGACGTAATAGCTTTTGCACTTTGAGATTATCAAAAATTCAGGGAAATTAACATTTATTTCTGCTTTCTGTTTGTTTATAAAATCACCAAACATTTACGACAATAATGTATTTCGCTTAAGAAATGCTAATAATTGCGGTCTTCGATTTCTAAATTCATGGACAGTTCCATCATTAAGATCCAAAGCATTCTGAATTAGGCATCCGCTCTCACGGGATGACTGCATGAAATAATCTTCCATCTCATGCACGAAATGCCTCGTCTCTTGCATCTTTCAAGAGGCTTCTGAAATCGCATCTATTATCGCAGTATTAAATGTCCACTCTGTGAGCAAATCGACGAAGCAGTGTTTAATCAGTATCTTTTCTTTGCCAGTAACTATCAACTTATCAAACGCCATGACACTGTGTATGTGGCCTTGTTTTGTGTAGCTACTTTCTTGTTAACTGTATTTTGTATTTTATTTCTTTGAGGCTTAATAAACATTTTTGAATTTGATTCTGGAGGTTGGCGCATCATCCACTTACCCTTCCCCCTGCTTTAGTTTCCGTTCCTTTCCGTTTCTTGCCTCTCTTTTCCCTCCCCTTTCCTTCTTCCCTCCCTCCACTTTCCCCTTCCCACTCCTTCCTTCCCTTCCCTTTTCCACTACCCCCTTCCCCTTCCCCTCCCCTCCCCTTCCCCTCCCCTCTCCCCTCCCCACCCCTTTCCTTCCCTCCCCTCCCCTCCCTCTCCTCTCCTCCCCTCACCCTCCCCCTCGCCCTCCCCCTCCCCCTTCCCTCCCTTCCCTCCTGCCCCCTCGAAGACACCGAGCGTCGCAGGTTATTCCCATGCTAATGAGGTGCTGTGACGTCGGCATCCAGACCTATCTCCTCTCGAGAAAGACAGGGATAAGGGTGAAGCAAGGAAGAGAAGGAAAGGGCAAAGAGGAGGAGGATAAAGCAAAGAAGAGGAGGATAAAGCAAAGATGAGAAGGATAAGGAAAAGAAGAGGGGGATAAAGCAAATAAGAGAAGGAAGGAGCGAAGGAATGACGGAAGGACGGAAAGAAGGAAGGAAGGAAGGGAGGAAAAATGGAAGGAAGGAAGGAGCGAAAAGAAGAAAGGAAATTGAAGAAAAGAAGAATGAAAAGATAAAGGCAGAAAGAAAGAAAAAAACGAGAAAAAATAATAAAGAGAATAAAAGGAAAGGAGAGAACAGAAAACAAGAGAAAAAAAAAAGAGAAAGAAAGAGAGACAGTGGGAAAAGAAAACGTGAAACGGAAGGGGGGAGGTGGGGGGGCGGGGGATCCACAGAAGAAAGAAAGAACAACGAATAAAAGAATTAAGAGGAAGGAAGGGAGACAAGGGGAGGACAAGGAGTAACCGCAAAGAAAAAGAAAAAGAAAAAAGAAAAAAAAAGAAAAAAAAAACGCAACGATATCCGCAATTCAAAGACAGAGAAAGCTCTCGAGGTCAAAGCGAGTGTCAGGAAGTTGGGGAAAAAAGAAAGTTGATGAGAATGTAGTGTAAAAAAAAATAAAAAAATAAAATAAAAAAAAACTAACAAAAAACAAAAAGAAAAGAGAACAAAGGAAACAATATAACGTCGCTTTTTGCACAAGAAAGAAACAAATAAACAAATAAAAGAGAGAGAGAAAAGAAAAAGAGAAAGAGAGAAAGAAAGAAAAAGAGAAAGAGAGAAATAAAGAGAAAGAGAAAGAAATACAGAGACAAAAAAAAACACAGAAAAAAAAGAAAAGAAACAGAAACAAAGAGACGAAGCAAAAAAAAAAAAAAAAAATTGGCAGTAGAAAACACTAGCGCGCCTCCCACTTCCGGCTCACCTGCCCACCAATTCGCCCTTTTCATTTTGCCTAAAGTTCTGTTGCCTCAAGGTGGACGCCTTCATAACAGGCCTGGAATAACGGGCGACATTCGCGCGCGCAGAGGGTGACGAGCGAAGGGGACTGCAAAAGGAGGAAGGAGGGAGAGAGGGAGAGGGAAAGGGAGAGAGGGAGAGAGGGAGAGAGGGAGAGAGGGAGAGAGGGAGAGAGAGAGAGGGAGGGTGTAGGAGAGGGAGAAGAGGAAGGGAGGAAGGGGGATAAAGGGAGGGAGAGAGGGAGGGTGTAGGAGAGGGAGAAGAGGAAGGGAGGAAGGGGGATAAAGGAGAGAGAGAGAGAGAAACGAAAAAAGACAAAAGAGAAAAGAGAGGTGAAGTGTGGCAAACAAAGAAAATAGAAGAGATAATAATAAGAAAAAAGAGAGAGAAAAACACACACCGAAAATCTAGTGGCGTGACCGTGCTGCAATTCCCCCCTCCCCCCTCTTCACCACCCTCATTCCCCACACCTTCTCCCTCCTCCCCTTCCCCTCCCCATCCCCACACACCTTCCTCCTCCTCCCCCCTCTCCCCCCCACCCCCACACGGCGCTCACGGAACAGAGCCATCGGTCAGCGCGGTCGAAGCTGTGC